ATGCAGTCTTCTTCTCAAAATAATTGCTTATTACAGGCATTTTTATATATGCTAAGGAGGAAGGAAGGAAGGAAAAAAGCAGCATGGAACAGAAATGCAGAAGACCTGACTCTTCCCCAAGTATTGGGCCAGGATAGAGGTTGAGTTGGAAGATGGTTTGGTCTGGCATCTGTGTGTGAAGTGTAGTTGTTTTATTGATTATTGTGAGCTGCCTAGAATTATTATATGAATCAGGCAGCTATATAAGAATGTAAATAAATTACAAATATAGCAATACTGCACAGTAGTATCTATGAATACAAGATGCTGGCAATGCATGAAGCTCAAACGGAATTCTAGGCAATAACAAGGAGTAGCTATGCCCATTTGTCAACATTTGTGTGTTGTGGTTTTTGTTTGACTGTATCTGGGGAAATAGGAGCTCTGTTTCTTCTCAGCAAAGGGCTTTTGATAATGATATAGGAGTAATTACTGGAAGGAGAAAATGGGCAGCAAGGAAGAATTAACTGAACATTTTGGACTTACACTATTGATTGAACTAAATAAAGTGTGTTGCTATCCTACTGAATGATTTTATTAGTATGTAAAGTAAAAGGATTCAATATAGCCAAACAGAATGATTCACTGACACATATTCCTATATGTCTTGAAACCTTGCTTAGTATCCATTTGATTACTCAAAAACAGGGATTCAATTCACAAAAGGGGTATAGTATATGAAGAGTCATTCAATATTCAGCTCTTGGTCATGAACTTAGATAAGGATATGCTGAAAAGAGTGGGTGAAGAAGCAACATGCTGAACACATGAGCTTCCTTATAAGACAAACCCTCTCTTTTCTTTCCTGTTAAAATAATTGACTGCTTAGAAATGAGGAATAGACAAGGTCTTAAGAAAAGCCATCTGTGTTCTGAAGTTCCACCCTAGAGTGAAGCAAAGATGCCACAACTCCCATTTGTGATGCTCACTTGTGATCAGTTATTATTTCATCATTATGTTCTAAGTTTCTGAAGTCAAAGATGCTGATAGCTCTGTTACACAACTCACTTAGCTTTCAGTATATGAACTATTGTCTCTTTGAAAGAAATAGCTGTGTCATCATCATCGTCGCCATCGTCATCATTGTCGTTGTTGTCATCATCGTCATTATCATCATCATCACCAACATCATTATTTCTTTTTCTTAGTTTCCATAACCAAGAGAGCTGTAATCTAACTATGTGGGCAAGGGGCCTTTTTCAAGCTGGCTTTTGAAAAGTGAGTATATTAAACCATAAATTGTTATCATCATCGTGCCCTTCATCCACACAGTAATATTGATAGGCTCTACTTGCCAAGGAAAATAGGTTGGTGTTGAATGTTGCTAGTGCACCAGACATTTGAAAAAGAAAAAAGGGGGCATTGGAAGAATATCTAAAGCAGAGGCCCCCAATCTTTTGGGCACCGGGGACCAGTTCTATGGAGAGAGGTTTTTCCATAGACCTTAGGGTGCATGGTTTTGTGTGCTGCCTGCATCTCATGGATGGGGCTTTGCTTTTGTTTGCATGGACCAGTTGCTGGCATGCTGCGGCCCGGTACTGGTCCATGGACTGGCAGTTGGGAACCCCTGATCTAAAGTACAGTGAAGAAAATGCACTAAAACTAGTACAGTATACCATGAAAGCTTACTGAATACTGGAGATACCAAATTGGCTTACAGAGAAAAACCAAATGAATAATAGAAAAGAGACAAGGCATGGCAAGTATTACATGGCTAGCATATAAAAATATAGCAGGCAAAGCAGATAACAATAAGATCTAGCAATAGCTAAGAACAGCAAAACTGAAGAAATAGATAGATAGATAGATAGATAGATAGATAGATAGATAGATAGATAGATAGATAGATAGATAGATAGATAGATAGATAAATAGATAGATAGATAGATAGATAGATAGATAATTCTGGCCGTACAAGATGAAGCCTTTCAAACAAATGCATACAAAGCAAGAATTGAAAAGACAGCAACAGATAGCAAGTGCCACCTCTGCAAAGAAGCCGAAGAAAGAGTGGAACGCCTAATTAGCTGCTGCAAGAAAATCATACAGAGTGACTACAAGCAATGTCATGATGACAAAGTAGCAACAATGGTGTATTGGAATATTTGCAAGGCAATATCATTTGCCATAAGCAAGAACTGGCAGCACCACAAACAGACAAAGTAATAGAAAATGAAGAAATTGAGATGTTCTGGGACTTTAGAATTCAAGCAGACTAGCACCTGCCCCCAGACCAAAAAAAAGTCTAGAAAAAGGACACTAGCTATTGATATGATTGGTTTGAAAGAGGGGTAAAAGAGGCTATCTATCTTAAAATTGAACAGACCTCTCTCAACAGAGGGGGAGGGATATGATGCCACCTATATCCTGCCTACAACACAGGAAGATTCCACACCCATTTGCACTCTGATTCAGGTGACTCTGAGGGTACAGATAAACCGCCAAGTGGCCTCAATGACTCTCAGAGAACTAATAACTGACCTTCAGAATCCTAACAACCAGATGACTGCAAAGAATATAAATCCTTCCATTCCCCACCATTCAGTCATAACTGAAGAAGCTTCTTAAATGGGAAGCAAAACGTTTTCAAGGAAAAACAAAAACAAGGGAAGTCCAGTTGCCTTTTGAAAAGCACCTTTGGGACATAATAGTCACTGCAATACCTGGAGACAGCAAAAAGGAAGAGAAAGAAGGGAAGAAAATAATAGAATACAAAGATCTGCAAACAGAAATAGCACGGCTGTGATAAAAGAAAGCAAAGATAGCACTAATAGTGATAGGCGACCTGAGTGCAATTCCAAAACAACTGGAGCACCTCTTGAACACCATCAGCATTGACAAAATTACCATCCATCAGTTGCAAGAAAGCTTTACTTGGAACAGCTTACATCCTGTGACAATATCTTTAACGCTACCGAACATTAACATCTGCCTATCCCAGGTCCTTGGGAAGAAGTTGATAGGCTGATAAAAATGCCAAATCCAGGCTAAACGTCTGACCAACTGCAACTAACCATAATAATATTTTTTACTACTGCTACTACTATAGGTGAATATTTTCAGGACAGTTAATTTTAATTCACATGCTTTAGGTGTCAGTTTTTTTTATCAGAGCTAAGAGGGACTGATTTTCCCAAGTACTGAATTAAACTGAATTATATAATTTAGATTTTACAATAGTCAAAGCAGTGCCACATAGTTCAAAGTACCCCATTGTTTCCTTGCAACATAGAGAATGAAATATCTTTTTTTAATGCTTTACTATATAGCTTAACAAATATTTTGCTTTGTGATATTTTGAAAGATCCAGTCCATTATTGTGATCACATGGTTCCCAAGGGTCCTGGGGTGACACTCTTTTCTTCCTGTTTTCAGGGAATAAAGCATAAATATCCAGATTTCCTGGATGAGGCTCTAGGTCAGGGTGTCAAATTGCCGGCCCGTGGGCCAGACGCATCATCAGGAAACCACACCCACCCCATTGCCGGCAATGGCAAAAAAAAGCCCCGATACACTGGGCGACATCACGTGACGTCACGAGTTTGACATGTCTGCTCTAGGTTCTCTGGGAATAAAGTGTTGCTGGGGAAGCTTGTATGGATTGAAAAACCCAATTAATGGGCCTAAAATGCTTCACAGAACAAGAGATCCTTTACTCAAGCCTGAGGCTTGTCCCTGTACTTGATGCACCTAACTTGAGGGAGAATTTGTTTATTCCTTTTCAAAGGATTGAAATTATCATTGTTGTGTCCACAAAATATTACCTCACCCAACAATGGTTTCGAAATTTTCTATTTTCAAGTCTAACGTCTACAGCTCTATCCGTGAGAAAGCCACCCTGGAATACTGTGGGCTATGGCTATGTCTTGTCTGAATGAAATGATTCCCCATTGCTGATTCATGGAGGTCTAGCCCCAAAATCAGTTCCCTCACTTGCAGCAACTCTGGACTCTAGAGTTTCAACATGGCAGTGATGGAGAATGAAACTCAGACCTCTTGCAGACTCTAAGCTGGCTTTCAGAACGAAGCCACTACTCTAGTGGTTTGAGCTAGAAACCAGAAGATTGAGTTTTACTTCTACCTTAGGCATGAAAGCCAGCCAGGTGACTTTGGGTCAGTCAGTGTCTCAACCAACCCACCTCACAAGGTTGTTGTTGTGGGGAAAATTGGAGGAGGAAGGAATATTAGATATGTTTTCAGTTATTTATAAGAGTAAAGTGGGATAATTTTTTTTAAAAAAAGTTCAACATACAGATGTGTTCTCTTTCTGCTTTCTCAGATGCAAACCCTCTTAATGCTGCTGCGACATTGGTAGTTTAGCGTAGAATATAATTACATTATCATTGGAAAATGCACAAATAATGCCAGCAAATAAGGAGACTTTGTAGAAAGTAGACTGTATCTTCTAAATAACTGTCAGTTGAGTCAAATCTACTACAAAGAATAGATTGCAGTTTTTAAGAAGTCTCTACCAATTCACAGAACTCATTTCTAAGAAAAAAAAAAGTCTGTTATTTCCTGCCTGTATAGTTAAGCTGAAACTACAGAAAAAGTTAGTGAACAATAAGAATTTAATTTTGATAGCTTAAATTTCACAGTTAATGACAATTGAATAATTTTCACACAAAAAATCTTTGTAAATCTCAAAGAACAAGCCAAACTGAGGAGTTGCTTGGAAACAACCTTATTTTTAATTATTATGTATCAATCAGCTCCAAGTATCTCTCCAGTCTTTCTGGTACCTTCTGGGCTACAATTGCAGAAATCTCAGCCACCAATGGACATTCTGAAGGGAAATTCTGAGAATTTTAATTCAGTGAATATGAGGATTCCCAAGTTAGGAAAACCTGCTCGCTTCTGGGTTTTGTTTTGTTTTGAAGAAATGTTTTTCAGCCATTTTGGCACTTTTACCCACCCTCTGCAGAAAGACATACTCAGAGAAGAGGCTGCATGATACATACCCACTCCAGTCTTCTTTTCACTTTTGTGCCAAGGAGGCATTGCTAGGGAGTCCAGCAGTAAGCCGTGATTCAGGATGGGTGGCTGGGGTGGACTGTTCGGATTAATACAAATGAATCAGAAGGTAACTTTGGCTGCTGCAGCAGCAGGTTTGGGCTGTGTGGCTCTCCCTGTTCCTCTTCTTCCTTCCTCTTTTTGTATCTGCGCACTCTCCTCAG